TTGAAACTTGATAAAATGACTTTGGAGCAAACAAAAAATTCATGGAAAAAAATTTGCCCACTCGGTTTCCGCGTAGTTTTTATTTTCGTGTATACTTAATGACGACCGCCAAAGAAGTCATGCAATTACTCACTTCGTCGATTTTCCGATGTCATTTATTTCATTTTTATGTCATTGTCTTGGTTGTAACATTTTATTGGGAGCCGTTGTACGTTTTTCTTTCTTTTTTCCTCTTTCTGTCTCTCTCACAAGCCCATTTCGTTTTTTTTTGCCGTCCTTGCATATCCATTTTTGCCAGTGTGACCTTGCCCAAACACTCCTCTGGACAACAATCACTTGTCATTTTTCCTTTCGTTTTCTCTTCTCTTTGCCTCTCGCTTTCTTTCTTTCACACTCCCCGTTTGCCCTGGCTCTGCCCATCGCATTGTGAAAAGCCACAAATTTTTTTATTGCCATTCGTAATGCTCACTGATTTCCTATCATAATTCAATCACTGCAAGAGCGAAGAACAAACAAAAAAACTATCCAATCTGTTTAGATGCTTTAGCCGTTTTGCCGAACGGCATCGGATTCGAATGCAATTTATTTACATTAAAAAGCGAGAGCGAACAGAAAAAAAGTCGGGCGCTTAAAACAACTGAGCGAAAGATCGAAATAAGAACAAAACGACCCGAACAAAACAGAAACTGTGTTACTGCCAGTAACTTGCTGGCACTTTGCAAATGAAGAGAAATCATTTGAGCAGCGCAACCAGATAGAGAAAAATGTTTGAACTTGTGCCAGAAATCTGGTAGAAAATCACTCTGTAAATTTATTACAATGTATCGGTTGTGTTTAGGCGTATTAACAAAATAAACACGATGTCCGTTTGCGCTGGAATCGAAGCTCCTTGTTTTTTGCTGTACGATCATTTGATGTTATGCAATATTCAAATATGATTTTTCCATACAATGGAAAAGGGAACTTGGTGTATTCATTTTTTGTGTTTGATATCGATGCAATCGATTGTGATAATTTTTTTTGAATTCTCCGAAAAATATTTCTAGTTTCGTTAGAAAATAGCGATGCGGCAGCTGATGTTTCGGATTTTCAATCGAATTTCATTTGACGTCATAACAATGACGCTACAACAGCAACGATAGATAATTTTACGTCAAACACTTGGCTTTCATTTTTTGTTCTCAATTATTTGAACAAACAAACGGTATATGCATAGAAAAGAAGGCGTCACATTGCACTGGATTCAAAAAGGCATTACTGTTTCTAAGGCAATATTTACACAGATCGTTTTGCCACGGAATAGCGATAACAAATGCACAAACACATAAAGCACACTTTTTGCTGTTCAGTGTCGTGGTTATTTTTTTTTTTTGTCTTATTTTCGGCCCCTGATAGAATGGTTTCATTCACAAAAATTTCGAGTGTATATTTCCTTTGATTTAGAGTGTCATATTTGGTTTAATAATATACGAGTGAAGGAAAAAAACACAACCTATTATCTCTTTTAGTCGGCGAACTTACTTTTTTGGTGCGTATGTCCCTTTTGGACGTATGTTGAAATTGTTTTTTTTTGGTACTTGTTGCTTCTCGGTGTTGTTTTCTTTCTACCGACGCATGGAACAATTGGATTGATTGTATGCTGGTCCATTGAAATGGTCATTGTGCGTGTGAAAGAGGGAGAGAGAGAGAGAGAGAGAGAGAGAGAGAGGGTATTTAGAGCATTTGTCACATTCACAGTTGGTCATTCCTTCCATGTCGTGCTCTTTATTACTGTTCTCTCTCTCTCTCTCAATCCCTCTCTCTCAATCCCTCTCTCTCTCTGTCTCTGTCGCTGTCTGTGTCTCTGTCTCTCTAACTATCTGTCTATCGATTCATGTTTCCAACTCAAATTATCGCTACTTTTGTTCGGTTCAGCCGAAAAAACTGCCGCTCATACATACGAAAGCATTCTTATCAAGTATTCTATTCAAGTATTCCAATGAAATTCTCGCTTCAATATTGCTATTAAATGGCACTCTAGCAGCATTGAATCATCTATTTACCGTTTATTAAAATCAGAAGCAACAGTAATAACAACAGTTGAAAGAAGAAGAAAAAAAAAACTCCATTCCGGAAGGTATCAACATTCCAATGACGTGCCATTTTCATTCCATTATCTTGAATAATTTATCGATCCTTTTGACGCATTCAAGCCGAATTTATCTTTGTCCTTATCATATCCAATCGTTTTAACGTGTTATCGTATGCCAATGCAAATAAAATATATGTGTTTTAGTTTGATTTGAGCACGAGCTGCCGTTCGAATCGTATACGAATCACCCATTTACTTTTCACGCATATGAATCACCCAATATTGCGTTTTTTGGCTCAGTGAAATACGTTCCAAACAAAAAAACAACGCATACATGCAAACAATGTGTGTAATCATTCGGCGATCAAATATTTATCATTTTCAGAAATCGCGATTTAAATGTTTTTATTTTTAAAACGATATTGAACTTTGAATTTGTTTATCATTTGATTGAGGATGAAACCCCGTTTGTATATTTCCCGCTATTGCCATTGCCATTAAAACTGCATTAATAAATTAGTGAAGTGGAGTATGATTCGAATCCATTATTGTTAACGTTTAAAATAAATGGTGCACCAAAACATGCGTTCAGTGGCTAACTCCCTGTTTTAACCATTTCATTCTATTTTTGTGCATTTGACAGAGGTTTTTTTTTGTCGATTCGGTTTCATTGCGCCGATATAGATGTTAAAATACATCCCTTTTGCGGTCGATGACTATGCGCCGGAAGTTTTTGGGCTTCTCTCTTGTGCTGAGGGTGTTTCTATATTAACCAGTTGGTTTTTTTTTGTTGCTTTCAATGGCATTCGTAGTGATGCATGCAAAAAAAAAACTTCAGTTCTGAATGAATACCCTTCCGGACACTGCTTTAGCAGAAAATCAGTTTCGATTCTAGTTTTAATTAATATCATTTATCGTGTTCTTCGGATCGATGACTTGAGATGACTCAATTAGAAAATGCTTAAAAATCAATATCAATCGACGACCACAAATAGATTCAGTTGTACTGCAAAATCATCAAATGAGATTCGGTGTTCGGTTTTTTTTCTATTCTCTGTTGGTTCTTTTTAATGCGCTTCCTCTTGTATTCGCGATCCGTGAATTTTCCATTCTGCGAATTCCAACCCCAAAAATGTATTTGTATACACGAGCGCGCGCGCACGCACGCTTGCCTCCTCTTCAATATCATTCAACGTTTATTGGTGTTACTTTGGTTTTGTTGTTGTCATCGCGGTTATTTTAGTTGCGTTTTCTTTTCGTTTGTGTGTTGGCAAACGCATTACAACTGTAATGTGCTCGAATATCGTAAATTCTCTCGGCATAAAAGTCGTCCAATAAATAATGTTAAAAAAGCAATCAAAGTTAGTAGTTTGTACAGCTACATTACAAAAGTATGCGATACAGATTGTGCATGTTTGTGTTTGTGTGTATGTGTGTGTGTGTGTGTGTGTGTGTGTGTGTTTGTGCTTGCATACGACCATGCCGAGTCATTTTATATTAAAAGAGAAAATACGTCATAGACATGTGTATCCCCATACATCTCTGTTTCGGTTTTATTCGCTACAGCTAAAATATAAATACAATGTGTATAACTATAAATTGTATAAAGCATCGATGACGATGTTGATGTCGACGATGACAATGACGACGACAACGACGGCCACAACAACAACAACAACAACAACGACCGACCATCCGTGGATACGCGCGATAGATGATAGTACGGGCGAAGACTGTGAATTGATATGTATCGTCTATTCATAATGTCGCTCATAATAATTTCTGTTTCGGTTTTGTTTTTCGGGGCAAAAGTCCGTGCCGGATGAGAAACGCATACACAAATGTAAATCAATTCATGTTTTCCCCCCTCCGATAAATGCCTCATAAATTCATCTCATTTTCGGTTGTGTAGTATGCGTCAATGTTTCAATCGATTCAATCGATTCGATTTGATCAACACAAGGCGTGTGTTCTCAATCGCATTCGCACTAAGTCCAATTTTCGGTGGTCGAATTATGTGTGTGTTTTTGTTCGAATTCTGAATCAAAAATTCAATCTCATTATAACCGTTTATTTGAGATCATTTTTACGCTCTGCTCTATTCGCTTGTCTCTCGCGGAATACTGTGTACACATTTGAATGTACGCGTTAGAGCTAAGTAGCATATATGACGATGATGACGATAAACGGTCGAAAAAAAGCGGTTCACATTCAATGCGGTTCGCTATTCAAAGCGCACTCTGACAAATACGCACAACAACTGATTCATATTTTCGTTCTGGCCTGTAGTGCATTTGCACAGTGTATCTAGAGAGAGAGAGTGTCGCGTCTATACAACGAGCTCCCTTCATCATTTACAATAAATCGATGGAGATTGTTGATCAATTCTATTTGTAGCGTTTATCTCTCTTTTTTCTTCAATGAGATTTGCAAGAAGATGTGATGTGGATCGACATAAGTGTCGCAGCCAAACTGGGGGGGGGGGGTTTGGAGCTTAGACATATGCAGAAAATCACACACACACAGAGATAGAGAGAGACCGATTGTTACAGAACTGAAACTATCGAACGACAGAGAAAGAAAATATCATTAATAAAAACGAAGCATAAAGTCAAAAGCGAAACACAACTGAGCCGAGAGACAACATAACCGAATAGTTAGCATATGTGTTGTCAACAGTCGTAGAGCCACACAACGTACGCAATGCAATTGTATTGCGAAGAGAGATACTTTTTTGTTGCCGTCTGTTCGGTGTCTCTGTCTCGCTTTCTCTTCGACTATGTGGTGTGCGATGGCCACAGTACCAGAGAGTTCGACTTCAGCACGACATATCTGTCGCGCGCTCGCTCTCTGCTGTTCCGACGACTCTCATATATGCACAAAGAGAGAGAATACACCACACACTGTACGATACACAGCAGCAGCAGCAGCACCAAAGCATACACAGAGCTGAGAGGAGCAGCAGCAGCAGCAGCACAACAGAGCCCGAACGAAACGAATTGTAGAAAAGGAAAATGCGAGAGAGGCAAAACACAGAGAGCCAAATTACAACAACGATAACACACAAATCATGAGTGTGCTATAGTGTAGTAGCTCGGGCCCGAGCGCTCTAGCTAGCAGCGCACGCTACAGATGAAAAAGAAGAAGGAACATAACACACAGTGAAAAAAAAAATCCCCATTTAAACCACTTTGGTTTGACTTTTCGTGTTTAGTATGAAATTGTTGTTCACTTGTTTCACTTCGTAGTTCGTGCCCGTGTTTATCGGCGATCTCTGTGTTTGGGAAAACTGTGTGTACGAACGCGGTAAAAAAAGAATCAGTGCAAATGATTGTCATTCTCGGTGTATGAGATTCGATTGTAAAAATTTTCATTTGTTCGGCATATAAAATACACTATATCAGTACAGACACACACAATTTTGTTTTTTTTTCTTCGTTTGTCGTCGTCGTTTCGATATATACATATAATTTTTTTTTTTTTTGGTTTCGTCGTTAACCATATTTTTTGTTCGTCAGTTTTTGTTGGTTCAGTTCTGGCCAAAATCGTGAATGATAATATTTTTGCTGGTTTGTTGTTCATTAATTTCGCAAATTTACGAAACGAAAGAAGAAGAAAAAAAATAAACCACAACGGTGGCCGAATAGATTTTGGCGCGATTAGTCGACATTTAAAAAGCTTATCATACATAAATAAGGAATAACCGAAAATGTGGAAAAACATATGAAAAAGTTTCATATATACATACATATGTATCGGGACAGAAGAAAAATTATTATTATTACTATTTTTGCGGCGAATCCGTCAAGCGATCTTGTAAGTGAGCCAAGACCAAACGAAGCGAAAAAAAACGAACGAACTGAAATAAATGATCACAAATTGATTTTAGTTTTTTTTTGTTCGTGTTGCTTCTTCTTCTGGTATATACATAAAACACTATATGTATAAATTAAGCCTTTCTATCAGAAACGCGTCGTGTGCTCTATCGCTTCGAATAAAACTGCTATCACGAACAATATTTTATTAGAAACAACGGATTTCGTACAGAAAAAAAAATGAGCAGTTTTTTTTACACTTCTCGTTTCGTCGACGATCCCCGATAGCGCAACAGATTCGATACGATCATCATCGATGTAATCAAAATATAAATTGTTGTTGTTGTTTTTTTGTCGTTTGCATTGCTCATTGCGGCTGCTGGTACTACTCTGTCGATCCAATTCTGTGTCAGACCGATTTTCTAGCTCATCGAATTTATGTGTTGGCATTGAGTTTTACAAGTGGCAGCGCACAATTTGAATCACCCGAAACCCATTTGGCCATAGAGCATCGAAATGATGATTCCTTGTTCAGGGAAAATACATGCGCTCGGCTGATAAGTAACCGACTTTTAGATTCCAAATGAATTCGGATCACTGTGTGTCTACACACATCTCCGTTTGTATTCTTTGGGTTTTTTTTATGTCTCGATGAAAGAACCGTTCTGTTATAATTTGATTCGGACATTTTTTGCGTTGACCCTGTCAATACATTGATTCGGTTTTAGCTCATTTCGCCTATCATCAATGACACTGTTGGTTCATTCATTTCATGAATGATGCTACTGCTTCACTCGCAAGTGACATTTGACTGTTCACCATTTTTTTCTACTTCAATTTGCCATTTGCGGTTTGTTTTGACGCCGATTGTTATTGAGACGAGGCGTATTAATGTGGCTAGAATACGCATTCATTCGATCTGATTAATTAGAACAACAGAAATGATCGATAGAGAAAAAAAAATTGAGTTAAAAGTACAGAAAAATAGAACAATTCATATCAGAAGGGGGAAAAAGTGGAATATGTGATAGCAAACTCATTTGTTCGATAAAGTTTCGATTGTGCTTGAAAATCCGAAAATTCGGAAAGTGAATAAGTTAAAATTTTTGTGAAATATATGAACGAAGCTTATGAGTTTTCCGTTTTTGTTTTGTTTTGATTTCCGTTCGGTTCGTTGTTATGCGTGTGTCATTTCGCATTAAAAAGGGCCTCCCCCGATGAAGTTCGGTTTCAATGGAAATTTTTGCAATAATTTATTGTTTGTTGATTGATGCGTTTGAAACTGACTCTGAAACGAGCACGACAGGCATCAGGTCAGCTTGAAGAAACACACACACACATACCCAAGCGAAATAATAAGGACAACACGAGAGAGAGAGAGAGAGAGAGAGAGAGAGAGAGAAAAACTATTTGAAAAATCCCCACAAAAAAAATTTCCACACGCGATCAATTGCAATATTCAGGATAAATAGCACCAAAATCTATATGGCCAATCAATTAACAGATTTGCGAAATGAACGTTCCATTCACTCACTCATTTGGTTCGATTGCCGTCAACGCTTCTTTTTTCTCTTCTTCTCCACGGTTTTTATAGGTATTTTCCATGTTTTCATGTGCATCGCACTTTGCGCGAGAAAAGCCTCTAATTCGGAGTTAAACGGAAGAAATTTAAACAACAAATAAATCAGCATGTGTGCGCGCGTTTGCCGCCGCTTACTATAAATGTGTATGTGATGTGTGTTTACACATGATGCAAAGAGCGAACGAGAGAAAGAGAGAAAAAAAAGAGTAGAAAAGAAGAAAAAAAAATTGAATGTATTTATATAAAAGCGCAATATACTTTGAATTAACGCTATAAGTGGAAAATGATCATAACACACATGTACAGCAAAAGTGCGACCGCCGTCGTATGAAAGCCATCGTTCGAGCAAAAAAACAACAACAAGAACAACAACAACAACCACAACGAAGCTAGCAGCGAGAAGAAAAAAATAAGTGAATATGCATGCGCACATAAATAAAATTGAGAAAATCAAATACAAATAATGTTTCAAGATAAATCTAATAATGATAATGGTTTGAGCACCGAAGAAAAAAGAAAAAGAAGAAGAAGCATAATATCGAGAAAGAGAAGCCTTCGTGTGTTGCTCTAAATGAATGCGCGTCGCGCGTAATGCGTTGCGACTGATCAACTTTAGTAATAATCTACAGAGAGATTTTCGAGAGAGAGAGAGAGAGAGAGAGAGAGAGAGAGAGAGAGAGAAAAACGTATATTGATTCGCCCCGCAGAAAAGCTGAAACCCAAGAGCCCGAAAAAAAGGAGTAATCGCATTAAAATTAAACACGCGTAGTGCATTGATAAAAAGCAACAATAACAATATTTAATAACAAATCGCGCGCGCATAAGAAATATGTCTAGTGTGTGTACATGAGCCCGTAGCAAGTTGAAGTGGAAGAAGGAAAAAAGACATACAACGACAATTCAACATCAGCAAACGCATAAATATATAGACTATCGAGATAAATATAATAAAACTAATTGTACAAACGGTTCGGTTTGAGAGACAGATAATAGAGGTAAAAAGGAGTGAACGGGAGAAAAAACAAAAGCAAGAATTACACACATCAGCGACAGCGACAGCGACAACAACAACAACAACCGCAGTACCAAGTCAAAAAGAAGCTGTGGACTTTTGCCGTCGCACAGTGTGTGTGCACCAGTGACTGCCACACAGTGTCTGTTTGATATTCCAAAGCAAAAAAACAGCATCGATTCCAAGCCGTTGCAGCGAATTCGTTGTCACCGTCGGTAGAGTTTTATTGAAAAACCAAACACCAAAAATGAGCGAACCAACTATGATATAAAACACACAAATTGCACTCGCTCTCTCACTGCACTCTGACAACTCACACAAATTGACGGATAGAAAACAAAACAAAACGAAAAAGAAAAAAACCATCGCAAACAATAACTGGGAAAAAAACGGTGAGTTTACTATTTTAAGGAAGTGAAGAAAGAAACAATTACATTTCTCATATGTTCTCGGCATACAAAACGAATATCGTATCGATACTGAATCAAAAATGACATTCGTTGTAACATACATTGATTCAGAGTGGCAATTGTGCCTGTGTCTTGAGCTATCTCGTTCGCTCAGTTTTCAATCGATCTCATCGCATCGAATTCATTGACTGAAAGGCCAATCAGGCAGTACGGTTCTTTTCATAGAACTCAAATACAATTGAAATTTTGATTTCGGCTTAAAATATTGTTGTTGCTTATTTATTTTTTTCTTCTGTTCTATGTCGATTTGTTCTCGAGAAATTGAGCGAGACTGTGTGCTGTCTGCTCTTTCTCTCTATCTCCCACTCCCTCTCGCTTACCATGTCTCTATCTATCTATTGATTCGTGTACATGTCGTTGCCGTCGTTTAAGAAATCAGTAGCCCGAATACACTGATTTCCTTTTCGATTGTTATTCGTCTTACTGCGGTTGTTCTTGATATTTCATTATATTTATAGTTGATATGTATATTAGACTCGGATTCTCGGTGTGACACAACAGAGAGAAAGAAATTGAGTGCTGCGGCACCGAGAGGAAGAAAAAAAGAGAAAGCACCATAGCAATAAATAATAAATGAGTGTGAACTTAGCTGTAACGATTGTACTCACTGTTCAGTTTATGTGTAAGCAAATAATATCACACTGATGAACTGTCAAAGAGCACGAGCGATTAAGAGACCTGACACACAGTCTCTCACACCGAATTAGTGTTGTTGTTTTTTTTAAATCACAGACTCTCTCTCTCTCTCTCTCTCTCTCTCTCTCTCTCTCTCTCTCTTTTCGTTCGTTCTTTTTCTCGGTGCTGCAGCACTGAATTGTTTTCTTGTACACAAACAAACTTCGTCCAGAAAATTGACTTGCGGGCTCTCCTCAAAATACAATGTGTGTGAGTGCATTCATCTCAATCATTTCGAGCATGTATTGACGGCGAGCTCAAATTTATGTTCGTCTGTAATATGTGTATTACAAACGACACCATATCACATTGAATTATTTTCAATTTGACATATTTCCATTCTTTGGCCATTTGTTGCGCTCGGTTTTTTTAGTTGTTTTTTTTTTCTCAATGAATTTTGCATGGCCATTAAAAAATGTGTGCGTGCATTTTTTGGCTCCCACATTTTAATGAGTTTGTTCCCTCTACAGTTTCAGACTTTGGTGGCCGTTTACACGAATCGTTGTTTTTGTTTCGCTCTCCTTTATATTGTTGTTGTTGTTATGGCAAATTGGTTTTTCGGTGTTGTTTGGTTTCGGTCAGACACATTCTCTTTCTTGCACTGGATTCTAATGCATTGGAAATTTAATAATGTGACATGATTCACACCCTCACATTACAAGTGCCAGATAAAATGGCATTTAACAAGCGCCTCCTCAACTGAGCATAGACGTTAGAATTGTTTGTTTGATTCGTTCTATTGAAATAGAATACAATTACACAAAGCGTATCAAATTCAACAGACATGCATCATCTTGTTTGTATGGATTGAATGTTGTGATGCAACTATGACTAAGACACATGAAATTCCCCAATTCAAGTGCATAAGCACAAAGATGCGCGCTACAACTCTGCCAATCCTTAGAACAAAAACAAAACGCTCGTTTTTCATTATCAATACGTTCTGGGTTAATCAACAACAGTACAGCAGTAGCATTACATCGGAAGCCACATATATAATTGCTATGTGTGCGCGTTGTTTCAAGTAAGACAGTGTTTGAAGTAAATGAGCGTCTATTCAAGCAAGTACACGTTTGTTTAGTGTGTGTCAGCTTATAGTATGTGAGATGTAGCCACATTCAATTGTGTGCTCAGTGCGTGCGTATGAAAGGCATACAAGTGAAAAAAAAAAAACCAACAATCTTAATCATGTCCGTGTTTTGTCACTATTTTTAAAATGTTTCATATGAAAAATGCTGCGATGATAGTGCAGCTCTTCACGAACACACACACAAATCGTATCCTTTTGACAACTCATTTTATTCGACTAGTATTTCATAGATTTCGCAACATACTTCTCGATAAAGTAAATAGTTCTATGCGGAATTCACTTTTTTTTATCGAAACTTTGTGAGAAGAAAAAAAAACACAACGGAAAAAATAGCATAAACTGTCCTCGAAAAATGATATCAAATACAAATTTGACCGAAAAAATATCGCTAGTTTCCGTTGTGTCCGTATAGAACGCATGTGGACCTGAAATGTGCTTCGACAACAAGTTTTGTTTCGTCCATTTTTCATGGCTAATCCATATCCAATGAAAGAACAATGATCTCCCTGCTTCATTCTACCATCACATTATCATCTGATGGAAGCCAACAATGATGCGAGAGAAAAACAACAACAACAACAACAACCCAAAGTCTGTAAGCATTCAACGCACCAAAGTTCATATATGATGAATGCGAAATGAGGCAAAACTTTTGTACAACAGCAACAAAAACCACTATACAAATGTGACGCTGCCGCCGTCGACGATGACAATGACAACGTCGACACATCGAACACATTTCAAAGCACATTTCAGTTAATGATATTCGTTCATTTGATAGCATTTGATTCGGTTTTATTTCGATTTCCTTTTATACAGTGCGCTTTTAGCATGCTCTTGCTCAATCTTGCTGCCATCGTATACGCTAGCGCGCGATATACAAACATATCAGCGCCGCTTCTTTTTTTTTAATTTTTCCACTGTATGCATGTGTTCAAAACATTTGCCGTTTTCATCGTCGTACACATCATTTGTTGTGATTCGGTTTAGTTTCGGTCAGTTGTTGATTGTTGGCCGTTAATGTGATATCTTCTTATTTTTATGCTTTGCCAATTCATCAGCTTATTGATTGTGTTTCATTGATGGACAGCACGCATCATTTTTTTTTGGGTTTCACTTCTATCTCTTCATATCGATTTTTATTACTTTCTCGCTGTTTTCCGTGCATCTCATGTGGATTGGTCAATATTTTTTTCAAATGGTTTTTCTTCTTCTTTGTTTTTCCCATCATATCGTCCCTCAGATATATGTAGTTGGAAAAAGGATCGTAATGAACAAGCATGAAGGCTATATCATTTACAAACTATTTGATTCGGTTGGCTTAGTTGTTTTGTGTGTGTGTGTGTGTGTTTTTTTTTTGTTTCTCTTATTGACCCACTATCCGCCCATTCAAATGCCTTTGACATCATTGATGTTAAGCGAGCGCCTCACAGCTCATTGCTAGTGGACAAGGACATAAAATAGAATCGACAAATTGAAAAATAAAGCAACCGGAAAAAAATCATCAAGTAATAGTCATAAATAAATAGACTTAATAGCAGTAACAACAACTTCTTTTTCTCTTACATTCCGGAACTTTATTCCTGGGAGAGAGAGTGCCCATTGTACACGTTCGTTGAAATTATATTTGTTTGGTTTTTCGTGCGAGTGATGAAATGGAATGGATTCTCGGCATCCAAACTACAACATTCCAGATAATTTGTCGAGCGTACATAAAATAAAGTTCATAATTTCGCTGAAGATTCCGAGTTGAGTTCATGAGCTTCTGCTGCTGCTACTGCCGCTGCTGCTGATATTGCACGAGAGCATATGCCTATTTCGCAATGTTTTTTTCATTGGTTTCCATTTGCTCGCTCGTTCTCCCAATATTTTCGGAACTTTATTTTATATCCTCGGTCAAATGACAGCGATGACTAATTAGTCATATTCATCATGTTCTAAATCAGAATTCATAAACATTCGCATCAAAAAGAATCATGAAGAATTTTCAGACAACTTTTTTCCCCTTTCTTTCTCTTTCTCTCGCACTTTCACTCGTCACTCTCTTCCCAACCCGAAAACGATGAAGAAACGAGTAACAACAAAAAATACAACGGTGAAACATATTTTGAAAGCCGTGAACCTTATTGAAAATAACCATTTTCATTCGGCAGCCGATTAAGTGAGCCGAGAAAGAGAGCTTATGAAATGGCATTGAATATTACACAAATGTCAGTAGCAAGTGCGTGCGTGCGAGAGCGCCAGTCAGCCAGCCAGGCCACTCTCTCGCGCGCGCTCAAGCTCACTCGTTTCTTTTACATGATGCTCAATGTAAGTGAGAATTTATCGTTTTGTCACTTGCTGAACAGCCTACAAATTACTTTTCCTTTTCGTCTTCTTCATTTATATTTACACTCTTCCCCCCGCTCTCTCTCTCTACCGTTGTCGTTTTTTTTTTGGATCGTTTACATTATTAACGCGATCTGGCGATCTGAGTGACGGCGTTGATTCATCAAAGAATTTCCGAAATGGTTATTATTGGTCCGGCTTCTGAATGAAGCTGTAAAATATGTTTGTTATTTTTAGTTTATTGAAAATGAAGGAGTAAAGAGAGAGAAAAAAACACACGCACACAGCCGAATCAACGTGCGACAAAAACCATTTCAACAGCGATTCGGTGCGAGACGAGACGAGTCAAAGACAGCTGTTCGACGGATTCAAATTTAAAACGAAACTAGATATTCGCCCAAAATTGGGCTAGCGCGCCCGTGCATTAGTCAATTAGTAACAAGAAAAAAGCATTAAACCGTTTTCCCCTCTTTCGACACGGGAATCGAAACGAAATCAACGACAACGAATACGACTAGTCCTTTTGAGTTCTTGCGAAAAACAAACGAAACTCACATTGCTCACGATATTTTTTTGTATTTCTTTCAGCAAAAACGAAATTATCGATCAAAATCCATGTATATAAATTATTTGGATTATACTTTTCGTTTGTATAAATCGCGTGCATTGCACATCATGTGGGCAAAATTGTATACACAAGTTGAAATATTGTGTGTATGAATCACTCTTTCACTGAAATGGCGATCGAAGAACAGCGAAAAAAAAACATGTATGAGTCGAACGCGCTCTTTACTCGCTTATAGCTTCGGTTTCTAGAATAAAAGAGGAA